TTCGAACGGCAATGTCCGTGGCTGTCTCCTCCTGATTGGTGGAGTTGGCCCAATAGCCGTAGCGCCACTTCTGTGACGTCAGAGAAGTGTTCAAATCTGGATCAGTCTGTTTCAGATCCGTTGCAGCCCCATTTTAAGAGATTTGGGTATGGAGGAAAATAGAGAGGGTTGTGTTTTCTGACACTTGGTGAGTTCCCTGGAACACCGGGGACACATATTCATGTATACAAGATGTGCAAAAGTGCATTTTGCATGATAGGTCACCTTTAAGTTTACAACCTTGCTGAGCTAACAGGCTGTAGCTTCACATTAAGTGCACAAACAATAAAGTGAGGCCAATATCGATATTTCAGGGTTTAATTATCTAATTTTAAATATTATAAACATTTAAAAGACAACTGTAAAAGATAAATGATTCAGCTATACATAAAAGCCAACCGAGGATATCTGACTGATATGTTCTTGAGAAGAGTCTAGTGTTTGAACAACCAACTTATTAAGTGGAAGTTTTTTGATCGAAAATGGAACAAGAAAAAAAAAAACATTTTTAGATACCAGGCAAGGCACTGAAATGCAATAAATACAAAATCATTCATCATTTCTAAAAAAGGCCCGACAACATCTATTCTCCTTCTCAGCCTCATAGCAACACTGTTCTCATAACTCGAACCACTTGAAAGTCGAACATATCGTGTGTCGGATTTCCCAGGACGTACACACAACCTCACAAGCTCCTTGAAGGCAGCGTTAGGCTCCTTATTTAATCCATCTCTGGATTTCCCTGCAGTATACATTCAGAGTAGAGTGGGACCCTGGTGAATCGAGACTTCAATGCAGCAGATGAGATTGCCTCTTCATATGCAGGCAATTCAATCTGACTTGTTCTCTCTCGGGCAGCCTAACCTGCTTATGCATGCGGTAACGATTGGTAGCCACACTTGAGTTGTTGATCACAGATGTTCATTTCTGGGTAAAGGATATGAAGAGTGGCTATAAAAAGTGGCTGTTTAATGGAACTGTGTTTTTGCATGAAGGCTAGTGTGTGTTGTGTATGAGCTCGTGCAGATTTGTTTTCATTTTTGGTATTAAATCTATCAAATGTACCTTTTTTCTAAAACGGTGTGTTCAATGTTTCTGGTAGAAGCCACCTTTTGTCTTTGTTGCTTTTCTTTCATAATAAGATCTATAACACTTTTTATTACACGGCTTAGTTGAATAATTGATTCTGATTGGTCAATTTGGACATTTCAGAGGTTGTTATTTCTCTAACAAACAGACCGTCGCAAAGGAGGATCAAGAGACGGTTTATCAATCCGCACAAAAAATCAGATAAATTAAACATCAGCTGTGGACAACAAACATTAGTGTCCATCAGAAATCACTGTGGAATACTTTTTGAATATTCATGTTTATATTTGTATAGAGCACAAAACTTTGGATTCACAATGGGTGAACTGTCCCCAGTAAAGAAAAGGAAAAGAAGGCAGGAGAAGGAAAGTGGTTAAAAGACAGAGTGCTGGACAGCAGGAGAAGACAGATGGAGTGACCACTAACAGGAAAACGGTTTGGGCTCTTGCAGTGATTATAGAGTGGTTAATGGAAAAGAAAACGAACAGACTTGGAAAGTTACAGAAAATCAATGACCAGTACTGCCGTCATTTGAAGTTACGTTGCTGTCGCTTGTAAATAATGAGGTCGTTAACTTTTCCCTGCTTGAGTTTTTCCAAAATGGTGGTATGTGGATTTTTGTACATTTGGACAAAGCTGTGCTGGCTGTTTCCACCTGCTTTCAGTCTTGGTGCTAAGCTAAGCTTTTTCCTAGCTGCAGCTTCATATTTAACTGACAAACAAAAGAGCATCTTCTATCCTAACTATTAGCAACAAACGTATTTCACATAATGTTAGTCTCCTTCCTTTGACATGAGAAGAGGCAGCCATTAAAGCTAAACATAGAGAGAAAGAAAAAAGCTGGTCCTGTAGAAACTGTAGAAAGAAAGGCAGTCATTGCACTCCCCCACACATATATTACTATGTGACCTTTGGGACGCACAGTGCAAAAAGCAGTGCAGCAATTATGAGTCATGACACCAAATAAAAACGAGATGCAGGACATCAACTTGAAGTTCAAGCTCTTCATTAAAAATAATGGTCTGATCAGAGGCACAGTGACAGGTCAAACTGAGAAGTAAATCTCATGAACTTTAATTGAAAAGCAGAATGTTTACTACCTTTCTGTAGTTGCCGTTTTTTCTTGCTTTTTTTCTTGTAAAGTTCTGATTATATATTCACAGCATGTGCAAAACCTGAAGAGAATTGACTCAGTTTAATACTAAAAGTGTAAATGATTTCTTTCTAACAAAAATCCACAGGTGCAATTAGCACTCGATAACATAAACATAGAAAGAGTATATGAAATGAAGTTCCTTGGTGTGGTTTTAGACCACAAAATCAGCTGGAAACCTCATATCACTCATGTAAAAGCAAAACTGGCTAAAACTATCGCAATATTGGGAAAAGCCAGATACATTCTGGACTACAACTCATTGTATACTCTATATAACACACTAATATTGCCATATCTGATTTACTGTGTGGAGATTTGGGGAAACACGTATAAAACCAACCTACAGCCGTTATGCACATTACAAAAAAGGGCTATAAGAGTAATCAATAATGTTGGATATCTTGAACACACTAATGTATTATTTTTGAAGTCACACATATTGAAGTTCATTGATCTGGTTAAATTTAAAACGGCACAAATCATGTACAGAGCAAGACATAATCTACCTCCTAGGAAATTAAAAACATTGTTCGTAGAAGAGAGGGTGGGTATAATTTGAGAGGAAATCTAAATTTTAAACAACTCAAGGTCAGAACAACTCTGAGAAGTATGAGTATAACAATCTGTGGGGTGATTTTATGGAATGGTTTGGAGCAGGAGTTAAAACAAAGCACAAGCATCATTCAGTTTAAAAGGATGTACAGAAACACTTTTTTTTAAAACTATGAGAATGAAGAAAAGTGATTGAAGATGAGAAATTATTGTATATGTATGTATAAATGTAAATGTATGTAGGAATAACTTGCATCGTGATTTTAAAGGACAATCATTGATAAAGTAAGGGGTGGGAATTAATAAGCATTTGCTTCCCTCTACTCCCTTTCGGACACATATGATTTATTATTATTATTAATATGAAGACTTTTTTTGTTTTTTTGTTGAATACAGATATTACCATGAATGTGGATGAATACTGTATTTTAACAATGCGGTATTCTTTTTTTTCACATTTTGTTATTTTTTAATCTGTTCGAAATAAAGAATAAAGAAAAAAAAGAAAGTATTTTGAAAATATCTGTAGTTGAAAGAGAGCAGAAGTCTCCAGATATTGAAAATAATTGTGTAAAGCCCAAATCTGAACTGAGTGAAAAAAGTCACTCACCCTCTTTCGCAGATTGTAAGTGAGCAGCAGGTTTCTGGAGAAGTGGTTTGAAAAGGCGGTGTAAAACTCCAGCACCTTCTGCAGGGCGTCGCGTTTAATAACGTGGAGGTCGCAGTAGGTCAGAGCTCGGACGTTGGCACAGGCCTGAGCGAGAGTCACTTCTTTCCAGAAAACATCCCCGAATACATCTCCCTTACCTGCAGAGAGAAAGAGTTCAAACTAGGTAGTAGCAAAAAGGAAATTAATACACACGACTAGCATTGACAAACCATTTACTTTAGCATTATACATCATGCCTTTTATTAAAAGACATCTTGGGTGGCCAGGTTTGAAAAATACTATCTGCAGTTCTTATGGCAATTTTTTGTTTTCCTTTTCTATGTTTTTTCTTTTCTGAGTAAAAATAAACTTAATTCACAACCTGCTGTTTTTTTTGTAAATCTGTGTCTTTGGTGATTTTCTTTTTTTGAAGTGGCAATTCCTTTAATCCAACACAAATGTGTCCTTTGGGAGGAAATAAAGGGGACGTTATACCAGCAGGTTTTAACACTTTCTAATGAGGAATGGTCACTTACTCTAGGGTTGCCAGGTTTAATAAAATATGCTTCCTTTAGCTAGCTCGTTACTCTGTCAACACATCTCAGAAAAATCTAGTGCCATGCTAAAGGAGGGTCTTTTTACAACCTGGCAACCTGAAAGTTGTTTTTATTAATGGCTTACAACAATAGACTGTATATATAAACTACAACAGACTCATAAAGCATTAGCAACACAGTCGCAACTGACCACTCAAGTGAGACTTCCAGAGAGGTTTTTTTTTAATTTCTAATAATGACTATAACTTATAAACATGAAGTGTTATGATTCAATGTAATCAACAACAAGTTTATTGATTGTTGTGAAGAGGAACCGATAGCCGACAAAACTGCCAAGACGACTGAGCTGTGATTTAGCCAGTGTACATGTAGGCATGGGAAATTGTTATTTCCTCTGAATACTGATAAAGAAAGATGTGGCGTACTTTCTCCGATCACATAAAGGGGCTTTGGAAGAAGAAATGGGCTCATACTGTATCAGAAAGGTCACAACAGTTAGCAATTATTTGTATTCTTTACTTATCAATATCCATTAGAACCGGCTAATGATAATTATACTGTTATGAGTTCGGGTCTTATTTTAGATGCCCATCCAGGATTTGGGCCCGCTGTTTTAATCAGGGCTGAATAAAACATTTACATTTTTGTATTATTATGTTTATTGTTGTTATTTGCAGGGCTTTGTCCTAATATGTATGTTTGTATTAAACTATGTTGAAAGATTAGTTTAATATCAAATTCTGAATGAAAGTCTGAATGAAAGTCTGAATGAAAGTCTGAATGAAAGTCTGAATGAAGGTCTGAATGAAAGTCTGCGTGCGAGAGTGGTTTTTCGCTGGGTTGAGTCGTGTGTTTTTTTTTAAGGAGTGTTTTTTTTTAAGTGAGATGCGGCACAGCAGCCTGTCAGTTTACTCCTGCGAGGTTAGTTTGGCTATTATCATTTATATGTTTATCTGCGACAATGGATATCAGGAAGTGGTTCACGAACAAAAAGAGCTCACAAAAGGAATATGGCAACTCAGCGCCAGATGCAGGCACATTAGAAGAAATCAGTTACGTTACCAACGAGCTAGCAAGCCAGCCAGGGACAAGGGAGGCAATCAATTATATTTTGAAGAGAAATTGACTCTCAAGCCCTCTCTCACAAACTGCTGCTCTGTGCGCAAGCAGACCGCTGCACACGCTCTCTCCCTCGCTCAAACTCACTCCACCTCTCCACCCTGTGTGCTCTCAAGTTTGCCTGCGTGCTTGCCCAAATTGGCACGGCGTTACAAATGTGCCACAAAACCAACAGATGTATAAAAACAGCCTTATGGCAACCTAAAACCCCTCTCTTTCCGTAACAACAATTCACGAGCGCCTCCCTCCCCC